ATGATTTAAAAAAATTAAAAAAAAATAATTGCTTTTTTCCCAAATCTTATAAAACAAACATTTTGTGCTTTGAATCTCATATGAAATGATTGATTATTCCTTTGTGCCACATTCTCCTTTCTCAGCCATGGAAGAGATTTGCAAACTGTTTCGAATTGAAGTACTATCTATTCAAAAGTGATTTGTACATACAGCTTGTAGTTACAATCTCTCAACTTTAGCCGGATTAATTGTTTACTGCTTGAAGTTTGTCTGTAAACAATTAAGGACTAGATAATGTAAAGCTCCTAACTTGCACTAAAACCAAGCTGTGGTATGCACTATGTATTAGGTAAATTTAACTATATGTTGCAAAAAAAATCTTCATTACATTCTGAATACTTTTTCATATATTTTTTGTGGAATTGCAAAGTATCTTTAGTGGCCTTTGAGAGATCTTCTTATGTTTGCTTTGAATGATGTATCTTTCCTCTATATACTTTTTGAGTTGGCATTTTCTCCCTATCTGTGCTCTTGCATAAGACTAAATCCCTCCATCTGATGTAATCTCAGCCAACAACTAGATCTATATATTTTAAAAGATTATGATGGAAACTTACAAACAAATTCATTTATACGTGTATAATTGCGCTTTTTGCAGTAATTATGTTATAGGGCTTGATATCTGGGAGTTGTAATTAATGCATGCTTGCACCTAAAAGTATTCCAAAGAAACATTGAAAGGAGATATAGTAAAACTTCTATAAATTAATATCCTTGGGACCATGAAAACTTATTAATTAATCAAAACATTATTTAATCGATAAATTAATAATTTATTAATATATACATTAATTAATAAAAAATTAATATATCAAGGTATTCTTTATTTTCTTTCAAAATATTGAACTTAATACATCTATTGTGTATTGTGATTATACAAATATTACCTAATTACCAAATTACAAATTACCATTATTCTATGTATTTGTTTAAACAAAATAAGTTCATGAATGTAATTTGTCTTATTAAATGGAAATCATGAATCTGTCTATTTTTGCAACAAATTAAAACTACGTTTGATATATACTTAATTTATATACACCATGAAGATTAAGTCAAGCAAAAACATTTATAAAAAGAATATATAGTATCACATACAGTAAAACCAAATACAATAAATTTTTAAGATGTAAACAAATCAACAATAATGGATGACATGCGTAAAGTATTATGTGAGTACAATATAAAAAATCTAAATTGTACCCAAAAGCAATTATAGTAGTGAGTGTCAGAAAAGTTTAACTTGTAAGTGAGCCAAACAACAATATCAAATACGATCAAGATGCCTTTAAAGTAACAATTACATTGTATGATTTTCTCTCACAATACAAGAACACTATACTAGAGCTCCTTAATACATTAACAAAAGTTAGAAATGCAGTCTAATGAGACATCAATTTCAAGAAGAAACAAGTAATATTAGAGTCATATTGTATAAAGGCCTTTTAATTGAGTCATGTATATATATAATTTTGATGTATAAAGAGATTATTAATTTATACATCAAGTGAGACCCATTTGTATTTTTTAAAAAATATATTATCTTATAAACTTAACGAATTATTAATTTACTACGTTAGTCCTATGTCGAGACTAGTCAAAAATTTTATTTAATCGAGATTATTAAGTTATCGAGTAATAATTTATTGAGATTTTATTGTACTAATTTTATTAGGTTCCATTGCTATTAATTTTCTATGTTATGAGTCTTTTGTTTTGGGAAATGATTATCTTAACTTTGCTTGTGATCTAACTTAATCTGGTTTCCAATCGTGTTTGGAGATCTTAAATGCTTCTATATCACCATTACTAATCCATAAACTTTTCTATAATTAAATTTTGTTAACCTAATAAAATTCTCATAATGCACCTACTATGAGAAGACAATTATGAATACAAACATATGAAGCTTCTTCTGAAACAACAGCAAAGGGTAATGGTGTTTTTTGTTTTATCTCATTATTTGCTCCGTCTCATTTAGATAAGTGCATATATGTGTGCTTGTGAATATGCTCCTATATGTAGATATTTAATAATGGATAAACAATGAATTTGTGAAAAGATTTATTTGATGTTAGGTCTCTAAGATGATTTAGTAATTTTGGTTTTAAATCCTAAATTAAATGATTTAGTTTGTTTAAGCACAAACATTTGTTATATCATATTAGGTAAGAAAGTAGTTAGTTTTTTTTCTTTTTTGTTTTAAATCTTTAAGTCAATCATTTCTAGGCATGTGATTGTACAAAACAGTAAACACACAAGTCCTATTCAACATCATTTAATGCCATGTGACAGATGACATGATATGAACGTCTTTAAAATGACACGTCAATATGTCATGTGGTAAATAATATAGCATAAAATTGCCAATTATACTGTTGATTAACTTTTGTTAATTAACAATTAATAAAAGAAACTTATTTGATTCAAAAAAAACTTTAAGAGTTTAATTGAACACAATAAAATGATAGAGACTTAATTAACTTTTATGGTATAATTTAGAGACTTATTTAAATATTTAACCTACAATTTATCTTCATACAAGAGAAAACACAAAATTTTTCTATCCTTTCTTCATTTTGTGTCTTGCTTGGTGCATAGTTCATTATTTCTGCCACATGTCCAATAAAAGTTAACTTCTTATGTTATGAAGTTTCAACCAAAAACTATGGTTAGGTTAAAAATATGAGAAGTTGCAGGCAAACACCGAAACAACTCCAACTTATTTCAAAAGATAATTTCCTCATCATAGCATGTTAAATGCAGAAATAATACAACAACGTAATGTAATTAATGTGTAATAGGATAATTTCTGAAAGAATAGAAGGGACGAAAGTAAGGAGATTGTACTTAAATCAAGGAGAATTTGTTCTCATAAAGTGTTTTTAGATGAAGGAAAATTGAGAATTTTGAAGAAAAAGGTTTTTTTTTTTTGAAAAAGAGTCCAACCTTGGGATTTTGAAAAAATGATTAAATTAAAGGTAAAATACTCTCATTATCTTAACTTTTAATCATAATTTCACGCAGATCTATTAATTTTCACAATAGACAATAAGATCCAAAAGTGTAAACACCATTAATAAAAAATAAAAAAAAATTAAAATGTTTTTTCTTTTTTCTCCTTATTTTTTTCTCAAACAATGTAATTGGTTAGTGATACTTTTATTCACCGACCATCATTTCACTATAGGCGCTCCAGGAGCACCAGAAAGGAGCATTGATTTGGTGCTCCCAAGGGAGAGAGAGCATCGATCCAAGCAAGAAGGAGCACCAATTATCATCGATTGGTGCTCCCTTCCCGTAGGGAGTAGGGAGGTTTTTTTTTTTTGTAAAATAAAAAAATGTTTAAAAATGAAAATTATAATTTGTATAGGGGTAATTTTTAAACTCAAAAAAAAGTAAAATTATTTTTTTAATATTATCACGTCATCTACTTAACGAAAACATTAACGTTAATTTGTTGATTAACGATTTAATTTATATATCTAACAAAAAATATTTTTTTAAGACGAATTATCTATTTCAAAAACTAATAAATTTACGTGGAATTATAGTTACAAATTAGTAAGGTGACAGTATTCTACTTTTAAATTAAATTTCTCCCTTCCCTAGATTAATATATGGTTCCAATTAGGCTTAATTTGTATTTCTTTTCTTTGTTGTAAATTAACAACAATTATGGAATCTAATATTAAGTAGGACTCAACTTTAACTAGATTGATAACTTAATAGACAGCGTGATAAAAAATAAAAAGAATAAACAGAGCACTAAACGAGACACAAAATAAAGTAAAAAAATCTGTTTCAGTAAAAAAACCTCTAACATAGTGTAAGGAGGGAAAGAGTAGGTATCCTTTATTAGGGTTGAAAGGGTCTAAGTTTTTGGTTTCCCGATATGTAATCAAACATTCATATGGCTTTCGTAGATCCTCAAATAATTGCTGGAACTATTAATGAAAACTCCATAACTAAAAGCTTGGTCCACAATTATAGTCCTCCCTCGTACCAACTCCATCAATGCTAAGCAATGTCTGAAGCACATATGTTGCTTTGAAAGCATGAAATGAAAGCTATCTTTTTCCATGCTCTATTCATCATTTGATTTGTAGAATAAAATTTTTGAGCATTCATCAGGCCCCAGGGCCAGAGCCGCAGGGTGCTGAACTAGACTGATCATGTTATCATTATAGGGTGGACAAACTGAAACAAGGGTCTCAGACATGCTGATAGAGGTAAAAGAAGAAGAGAACACGTAGGAAAAACAAAGCTCCTAACAGACAAATTTCAAGGCTGAAAGCCATGTGTAAAATTTTGAGAATGTTGGATTTCTTCTTACAAAGATTCCATCTAACATGCCAACCACTGCAACACCTTTTTCTTTTTCTTTGCCATCACCTCAAAAACACTTGCAGTCCTCCTCATTAACCCATTACCTTCTTTACGCTGCACACTTTGATTTTTTATTTTTTTGTTATTTTGTAGCAAATTAATAAACAAATAAAAAGAGATTAGATGTTGGAGATCCAAATCCTGCTAAAAAAGAGGTAAATTCCGAATTCTTGATGTGGCTTGACTGTCTTGGCTTGGATATATAATTTCTCAGACCAACAAACAAAAGAGCCATTCCTCTCTTGACACGTGTCAATCTAAATTCTCATGGATCATGTTTTGGTCTGAGAAGCCAGACTCAAGAAACTCTCCCTGAAAAAACAAAACGAAAAAACGGAAAAAGAAAAAATTAAGAAAAAAAAAAGGAAGAAGAAATATGCAGAGGCCCCGTTGGCCTTTTGGCAACTTGAAAGACCACATCTCTAATGATATAAGCAACATTAACACCCACGTGCAACCCAAATACAAATTTTTCCACCCACCAATAAAAACCCTCCACGTAGCCAATCTGTGGACCCCCAAAGTTAATGCACGCACTGTTAAAACAATATTCCCCTCCATCTCAGATGGGTTGTTTCACACGCGCCACGAATGGCTCGTGAGCCCAATCACTGTTTGTTTCTTATTAGCTTCAGAGGCAGAAAGGGCCCAAAGAAGAGGCAAAAGCGCACTTCGTCACCGTTCACTTCCTTGTTTGGCCAACGCCGGTGACGGAATTTAAGAAAAAACACCCGCGTGTGATTCTAGAATAGGTTTCCTCCCAATCCTTTTTTTGTTGCTGTGACCCAAATTTTGGATTCGATTCTTTTGGCGTGTTTCCAATCCAGTGAGGTTTCAATCAAGTTTTTTGGTAAGAATCGATGTACCCATTTTCTTGGTTTTGCCTAATTTTTCCTTTTTCAGAGGTAAAAAATCTTTAATTTATTTTTTTTTTGGAGAAGTTTCAGTTAAATTTTGATGTTTCTCATATGTTTTAGGTTGTCATTGAATTGGGTTGTTTCTGTTTTTAGTGGCTATTAAATCAATCTTTTAATGCTTTGGATGTTGGGAGCATATGGATGTTTTTTCTGTGAATTTTACATTTTCAGTGAATGAGGTGAATTTCTTTTGGTTTTTGGTTTTTCTCTTGTTTGATATTTTGGAGCTTATCATCACATTTTTTGGTGGAAATTTGTGTTTGTTGTTCACATGTAAAAGCTTTAGTTTTTTTTTTTATATATTTGTGAAAATTCTAGTATTTTGATATAAATTCAGTGGAGGTTGGTGTCACTGAAGATAGATAGCTCTAGAAAAAGGTAGGATTGCTTAAAGCATTTATTTATCCCACTTCTAGATATATGAGATAAGTTTATTTGGCTTAAAAGTTTGTTCTTTTAGGGTTGTATTTAACAAAGGGCTGACAAAGATATTGATGGTCATCCTGAAATATGAAATGCCTGTCATGGTTGAGAGTTAATTATAGGTATTTTAACGCTTTCTTAGATGTATGAATAGAAGCATAACTTAGGTTAATGGGATTGGTGGACCGTTGTAGATGAAATGGCTTTGTATTCTTGAAATGGCATTTATAAAGACATATTAGAAGATTTCTTGGCATGCAAAGCTAAACCTGAAGCATATTGGAGGTTAGAAATAGGGATATAGCGCCGTTTGGAGGAATAAAGTTAGTTTGAGCCTTCCTGCTGATGGAGGAAACTACAAATGTTCAGTTTAATTTTGCATCTCATTCATTATCAAGCACTGGCTTTATAACAGTTTTGCATCTTCTCTTTTGCCTGTTCCTTTAGTTTTCTGGTGTACAATCTAGACTCTGCACCAATTTGCAAAATGGAGTCTCTGCATTTGATTCTTTTTTACTTCTGCGCTGTATCTTTGTTGTAGGACAAGTGAGGGAAAGAGATACTTAGAAAATACATAGGATATATAAACTTTAAGGAAAGTAGAGGAAATGGAGGAATTAGAGGAAAGAGGAACAGAGAGAACCTAGGAATGGAAATCTTAACGCGCAAAAGTCAAATCTCAATAACCAATAGTTACTAGAAATTGAAATAACATAGGTCCATATAAGCTACTGCCTAAAAACTAACATAAATATTAAATACCAAATATAACCATAAATTCCCTAAATACTACAAATTACAATGAACATGTAAAATATATAAAATAATTCCTAAGAGCCTGTGTAAGCACGTGTTTCTTTTTCTTGTTTGCCTGCGCATCCTAATTTTGGTTCCACTTCTCCAATGAGATTTTTGGGGTTGATTTTTTTATATACAAAAATATTTAATTGTTTATTACATAATGTCTACTGATGCCAAAAGTTATGACCTTTCCTTTTGCCATAGCATTTGGAAGCAGTAACAAGAGTGTTTTCTGGGGCTTTTATTGGTTTTTGTGCAGCAGTATGAACTGTGCCAATTTAGCTGATATTGATTGACCAAACAATTGACACCCTCATTTTTAATTTAAGCACAACCATGGAGGCACGACCTGCTTTATCCATTCAGAGATCAGGTGCAAGGCCGCTCAGTAACCTGGGGGTGTCTGGAGGGCTATCATCATCTTTACCAGCCCTTACAACACCTTTGGAAGAGACATATCAAAAGTTGTCGGACATGCAACAGGTGTCCTCAGATAGGGAATTGATGACAAGGCCTCTGGTCCATGCAACTTGTGTACCCACCAATAGTGGAGCGGTTGGCCACATATTTTCATCATCCTCAGGATTTTCAAGTGATCTTCACTATTCGTCTGCATCACCACATGAAAAGCATTCAAGAAATGCTCCTTTCATTTCTCAGTCACCAACTGATGCCACAGCTTTGCCATTACCACAATCATCAAATTCAGTGCTACCTCAATCAAGTCATTTCAACAAAGATAGTAGTGGTTCTTGGTGTACAGATCCAGGTTTTCTTGATTTTCCTGTAAACACCCCTATCCAGAGCAGTCAAGTAGAAAGCAGTAGTTGTAGTGGTATCATGACATCTGAGGACTTCAGCAAACGGAATGATTGGCAAGAATGGGCAGACCAGCTTATCACTGATGATGAGGCTTTGGCCTCCAATTGGGATGAGCTTCTTGTTGACAACAATGTTACAGATCTGGAACCAAAGGTGTGGATTTCATACCATGGAAGATTAAGCTTTACAACGTAAACTTGTGGGCATTGTTTATCTTTGTATCATGTTCCGTTCTTGTTGCTTCAGATGGCATACCAGGTGGCCAAACCATGCACAACCATGCCTGCCCAGAAACCCCAAGTACATCAGCAGCTTCCTTCACCATCTGTAGAAAGTCGCAGTGTTGCAAACCCGTTTTCATCTGCAAATAATGCCCCTGCAAAGCCACGAATGCGGTGGACACCAGAACTCCATGAAGCCTTTGTTGAGGCTGTCAACCAGCTGGGTGGCAGTGAAAGTGTGTAATTTTCAGCTCGCATGAAATTGCTTGCGTAAAATTGTTAGGCTTATGTTTCAATTTGTTTGGTAATTTCAACTTACAGGAGCTACTCCTAAGAGCGTGCTGAAGCGTATGGAAGTTGAAGGCTTAACCATTTACCATGTCAAAAGCCACTTGCAGGTACACTTCTCCTTTTTTAATTATTAAATAATTTGTGTCTGTATGTGTGCTCAACGGTGCTGGTTAGAAGTTAGATTCCTTTTAACTGGATATATCCATCTGTTAACTGCAGAAATACAGGACAGCTAGGTACAGACCAGAGTCATCAGAAGGTATATGGCCAGCTCCTTTTAAGTTTATCTTTTTTCCCATTTGTGTTACTTCTCTGCATTTGCCTATATTTTCTTCTATTGCAGTGGGTGGGTTGTAGGTATGCACTAGTGCCTGTTTTGCTTTAGGGGAAAATTAGGCTTTGAAAGGGTGGTTCTTTCTTGATACATGTACATATATTTTCTCTTTGTAACTTTTGTGTGGGTTGAGGGGGATTTGTAAGAGAGGTATTGTTGAGAGGTATATAGTCCATGTTGTCATCTTCAATGAAGAGGAGATCACTTTTTTCTTCATATGGTTAAATTGGTCCCAGAATTTTCAGATGTCCACTGAAAATTTATGATGCATACTCCAACAATCCTAGCCTCCGATGCTGATATATTAGAAATCATAGCAATGTAATTAGATGGATGGCAAGCTAAGGAGATTGCTTACAATCCAAGAAGAGATCATTAAATATCATGGAACAATTTGTCCCAGAAGTTTTTTCTGTCTTGTTTATGCACATATGTGTACAGATTCATCTATCCACATGGATGCTTGCATGTTAAGTTCTTGATTCGAGTTTTCTGGTGTTGGTAGTATACATTTTTTTCTGTAATTTATGTCAACCAAAGCTATGCCTTTGAATAAAGCATGCATTTTTGCATTTACATCTCTCATTCAGTGAGATCATCTTGCACTGGTTCATTTCTTGTGTAGTTTAGATTAAGTTTCTTAGTCTGAACCATCTTTTCAAACTTTGCCCTTTCACATCACTTTGCGAGGGGAGATGGAGATCTTTTAGACTACCTATTTTTAGCTTAGCTTTATGGGTTTTATTCATTCTATGAGCTTATAACTCCACTGTGCTTTAAAAACCATATTTCGATGTAATGTGTTCACTCACTTTTTGCCCCTCCTTAATTTATCCATGAAACTGGTTGTCTTTGTGGTTGGCATGGAACCTTTGTCATGTCCAGTTTGGTTATTGGATCATAACAGATTTAAAGGACTTACATTATGTATCTTGAATCCTCACAAATTCCCAACGTGGGGTTGGGGGCCTCACTGTATATATAGCTGAAATATCGACCATTGCTTGCAGGATCCTCGGAAAAACAATTGACTCCTATCGAAGATTTATCATCTCTGGACTTGAAAACGTAAGTAATTTCTAATGATTTGTCAAGGATTTCCAATAATACTGTATGGTATATCTATTTGTTTCCCTTTGTCGGTAAAGAGAATTGCATCATTGACAAATTGTTTGAGCATCTGCTTTTATACTTGGGGGGCTTCCATAAATTCTGAGTAGCAGACTTAGTAACTATCTGGACCTTTATTGTTAAAAATGAGTGGGATGCTGCCATTCCTAATGTGGAATTATCTACTTCTAAGAAAATGGTTAGAGACAGAAGGCAAGGGTCTTCTAAAACTTGCAGGAACTCTATTAATTGGAAAATGCTTCATCTTCAAATCTTTCAGGCTGTCTGCTATGCTCTTCATATGGAAAATGTTGATCTAAAACCATGAAAGGGGTGGTTGATGGGTCCGCTAGTTCATGTTTTCAGTTCCTTAAACTGATTTGGATTGTGCATTATAATTGCACCTGATGTTTAAGTTGTGGCACGAATAAGTTTGTCATATGCTTTAAGATAAAAAAAGAATAAGTTTGCCATGAATGTTCCTTGGTAATTCTATTTGGTGGGGAGAGGAATCTGCAAAATGATAACTTTTTCCCATTTTGGTGTTTGTATTGTGCAAAACTTTGGTTATAGAAGATTCCAAATGGAATCTTGAAGGATGAACGTGCATAATATTCTAGGGTCTACTGAAGCTTCATTGTATTGATTTGTTTAAGTTCCTTAACTGTAGAAAATGCATTTTTCTTTTCGAACTGGAACAGGGGTATGGGGATCACTGAAGCTTTGCGGTTACAGATGGAAGTCCAGAAGCGGTTGCATGAACAGCTTGAGGTATGAATTTGTTTGTCATAATGGGTTTCGTGGCATAAAAGCAACATACGTCGTACATAAGAAAATTGAACTAAATAGAATCCATCTTTAAAGTATGCCTTGAAGAAATTAGAGAAATACGAATTCTTTTCTTCCTTTAGACAGGTAGAAACACAGTTTCTGGTGTGCTTTCCCTCAGACGCATGGCTTTGAACATTTGAACCCAAATGAACTAATTTTATTGCCGTGAGCAGGTCGGGGAAGGTGGGAGGATCTGCTCGGTATTGCACATTGAGGGGATATGACGCCATAACCCTGTACGATTAAGGGCATTTAATTAGATTATTTTCCTTGGAACTCTTTTCACTTAGATATCATGCATAACACCTATCAGATAATGGGCACTTTGGAGATGGGGTGTCGGTGTTGCTGGGATATCATATCATATGTGGTATGGCTGTTGCATTAGCTAACTTGCTTTCTTGTAGTTCTTCTCAGCAACAATTTTGAGGGGAGATATGTACCCTGACTTGAGTACTATCAGGCAATTAAATGTGCTTAATAATTCTTAGAATGAAGACACTGACTATCTGAAATAGATTTTGTAGGATACTGGCCTTAGCAGTTTTAGAATTAAACACACCTTGGCTTAAATGGTGAACTGATTTACCGTGTAGTGTATCCATTATGCCTTGTGGAGGTGTGCACCACTATAGTCAAAGTTCTGACTGAACCCATCCTCGTTGATGTTTCAGTTTTTCCTCTGGTGCCTGTTGGTGTAATGCTGACATGTTTCCTTTTTTTCTGCAGATTCAGAGAAATTTACAGTTGCGAATTGAAGAACAAGGGAGATACCTACAACTGATGTTTGAGAAGCAAAAGTCAGGTGTGGACAAGCTGAAGGTGTCATCTTCTAATAATCTGGAGAATCCACCTGCTCCTCCAGATGCTACCAAAGAGTCTCCTGCAAAAAGTGACCTGGAAGCCTCCCAGATGGATCATGTAAATTCAGGAACCGACACTGTTAATGCCAACTCGATTTTGGAGAGTAGTTCACAAGAAATAGGTGCAAAGCAAAAGGCACCTGAAACTAGTGATCTAGAGAAAGCTGAAACCTGTGTTTCTGAGTCAAGTTCACAACCCTCAAAGCGTCCAAGAATTGAAGAATAAGTTATAACAGCTTTGAACTGACAAGCACCTTAGTAGGATAGATCAAGTTGAGATATGGATAGAGCTTTTGAGGTTTTAAGGTCCTTTTCCCTCTTTTTATGCCCTTGTGGACAATTGTGTAAAACACTCGATATTTAGTTGATAAACCAAAAGCTTATAAGGTTTAGTTTGATTTTCCTAGCCTCCAACCTCCCCAAGTGGAAATGAAGGAGCATTTAATACAGTTGCACAAATTTTATTAGATATGCCAGTGAAGGTGTCCCATTTTTGAGGGAATGTTGTTGTCTTAACTTGTGCGCCCAATAAAATTCCCACTCCTAGATTTGTACATGGCTTTCATTCCAATACTGCTTTGTGTACCCCACAGTTATTACCCTCCAATATCCTACATATGTTGTAGTTGGCAGTATTTCTTTCTGAAAAAGGAAAACTTAGAACTATATTCCAGGGCATACGTGTATGTACGTAAGTAATATAAATGACAATGACCCTTCGAATATTTCCAGCGTATGTTATCTTGGGGTGTTATTCAGCTTTCATAGTAAGAGAGGAAAGTTGGGGTAGGCTGATGAAAGCTGCATCAGCGGACATGCAAAGCTACAGGAACTGGGAATGCCCTGCAGTACGACTATGGCTAAACAAGAAAAGGAATGGAGAATGCAGAACAAAGGCTCGGCTTCGAAGATGATTTAAGCTCTTCGTGATACAAGCTGGATTTGAGGATAATCCAAACCATGGTTAAATCTTTATTAGTAAAGTAAAGGGTATTCCCCTGATTCATTATCAATGAGGAATGTGATTGGTTACCGAATACCTACTACTATTGGTTTAAAGGAGGACTAAGGAACTTGTTCTCCCTGCCAATAAAATTGACAAGAGATTAGAGAGCATAGCTTCAAGGTGTTTATATATAAAAAAGGAAAAATTGTATTTATGATTTTCCTTTTGTAGTTAGTTGCTCGATGGGTAGCATTTTTGATCAAATTAAAATATGGCTCCCTCCCTTTTGTCAATTTTCATGTTTTCTATGTGTATCTTGTTGAAGGGCCATTTTGCTTTGTAATTTTTAGAGTTTGCTTAACAAGACAGCATCTATGGCATGATTAAAACAGAAGGGTCGTATGATATAAAATATCAAATTAAGGCAGCTAAAGTTTTGGAATTCTGAAACTGAGATGGGCTAAGCAGCCTTTATTTAAAGTTTGGTATTCTTTTCTTTCTTTTGGTCCCAACAAACATCTGAGATGTGATCAACTGCATCTAACCAGTAATTTACTTAGCAGAAAAATATACTAGTAGCAATTTTTAGCATGCACGCTTCATGATATTGATTTCCCTCGTCCACTCTTCATAAAAAAATTATATACAGCATAGACAAAAATCTTTTATTGTACATAATCTTTTAAAAAAGCCTTCAAAATTATTTTTTTTTTAAAAAAAATCAAATAAATTTTTATATTTTCATTATATTCAAGCAAGTTTTTGACTACTTTTATTATAAACTAAATAAATTTTTATAACTAACCGTTGTCCAACTACTGTTTGTCAAAAAATCATTTATCTTTATATGTCATGTAATATTGACGTCACATGTTAACATATTATAATAAATAATGAAATTACATTGATTTAACGTGATGACATAGTCACGCAACATTTTTCTCCTTCCATGTCAATATTACGTTACTGTTATGTGACATTTTGACTAATAACAGACTATAAAGAAACAAGATATTATCGATAGAAATTTTCATTGATAATAATTAACATTTCATCAATATGTGACAATACTTATGAAAATCTCGATAGAAAATTTCATCGATAATAATGTAGTCGATGATGAAAAATTTATTAGCGCCACATAATATTTCATTGACAATTCGGTTGGTAACGGGTTTGATTCGTTAGCCAATTGTAGTCGATAATGAGAGAATTCTGTCAATAATTTTCATTAACAGTTATTGATAGAAATTTTCATTGAGAATTCCATTGGTAAATTTTTTTTTTCTCAAATTAAAGCTTAGATTAATAATATAAGCTTTGACTTTAATATTGGAGAAGTGGTTTGTAAAAAGTAAAGCTATGGCTTCCTACAGTGGCTAAAGAGGACAACTTCAATTTTACGTCTGAAAAACTCCATTTTTTCAAAATAATTCTAAGGAATGCTATTAATTATGTAAAACTAGTGAGTGATCTTTTCTCAATTATAAATCATAATTTTGAATGTGATTTTCAAGTCTACTTTATGCTAGGAATATCTTTCATATAGTAGATTTTAAAATCACATTCAAAATTATGATTTATAATTGAAAAAAAATTATTCATCAATTTTTCATAATCAATAGTATTCTTGAGAATTACTTTGACAAAAATGGGGCTTTTTGGATGTTAAGTTGATAAGGTTGCTATGATGATCATCTCTCTGGCCGCTATAGGAAGCCATAGTTTAGCTTTTGCATACCACTACTTCTCCAATATTAAAACTAAAACTTAGACTTTTAATCTAAGTTTTAATTTGAGAAAAAAAAAAGGAATTTTTAGCTCATATGTACCACAGAACTTCCAATTGTAAACCAGTTTATGTGACTGCCACTTTGTCGTACAGAATTTTAATCTATGAGAAGTTGGAGGAATTACATCAAATAAGTATAATATTATATAATATTACTTATTGAATTAATTTCTTAATTATTTATAACACTAAACCTTAAATACATTAACACCTTAATTTAACTACCCTAAATATTTTTAAAATTAAATAATATTACTAATTTAGTTAACTAATTTATATAACTAAACGCTAATTTAATTATATAATTAAATTATAACACATTATATTACTTAATTATATAAATTATTTAATTAGCTCATTAATTAACATCTTAATTTATTTAAATATTTTAAAATGATATAATATTATTAATTTAGTTGATTGCTTAATTACCAATACATAATTATTCATACTTAGTTAAAATATGTAATTATTTCCCAAAACCCTTAATTAATTTAAATAAATAAAATATTATCTAATATTATTTTGTTAATTTATTTCTTAACCACTTATAATACATTACATGATTCTTTATTACCTAAATTATTTAATTAACTCATTAACACCTTAATTAATTTAAATGTATTTTAAATTAAATCCTATTACTAATTTATTTAAGTGCTTAATTACCTAAAACATTTTTCTAATTGATTAACAACTAAATGCTAATATATTTTGCATAATCGCTAATAATTATTTAAATTATTCTCAAACTTTTCATCAAGACAGATTCCTTAAAACAACAATAGATTATTCAAAACAACATTCAAATAATAACAACAATTTTATGCAAATAATAACCAGAATTTCACATATTAATAAGGAAATTTACAGTATTAAGACAACAACAATTTCACAGCAAGAGTTAAAACACAATGGGGGTAGCAACCAAAACCTACAATATTGGGGTAGCAACAATGAGGAAACCAAAACCCACAATAGGGCAGTAACAATGGGGAAACCAAAACCCATAATGGGAAAAATGATTGACAAATCTTATCGACTAGAGCAACAATGGGGAGGAGGACGTCAACTGGAGCTTAGGGAATCGAATGGGTAGAAGGATCGAGAGGTTCAAATGGCGAGAAAAGGAACAAGTAATTGACGAAGGGTTTGGGTCCGGCATGGATGATGCTTTGGGGCATTTCAATCGGCAATTCTAGTGGCGAAGGTAGAGTATGGGGTGCGAAGACAAGAGAGGTAGAGAGGAGAGGAGAAGAGAAAAGAGAGAAACGAGGGAAAACGAATTGTCGAGGGTTTTAATTTAGCCTATCGACAAAATCACTAACGATAATTGTTGTTGGTTAAACCACCGACTGAATTTCTATCGATAAACTTATTAACCTTTTAAGTAATATTATGGACTGAATTTTTGTTGGCAGATTCGTCGGTAAGCTTACTAATGTCTTAAGCGACTTGACCACATTACTGACCACACACTTCATCGACAAAGGGTTGGTAAATTTCATTGATAAAACAGTACCGACGGACTTATTCCATCGATAATGTTTGCCCCATCTTATTGTTCATGCGCATTTTCGTTTTGCTGATGATTATATTTCATCGGCATTTTCTATCAAATTTTCATCGATAAGCAATCGCTATTTTTAACATTTTAATTCCGTCGGTAACACTACTAAAAGACAAGCTTTTTTAGACGAAATTTTTTGTCGAAAAAAGTTAAAATTCTTTTGAAAATGCCTATTTTTGACGGATTTCCAATGAAAAATTCCGTTGAAAATTCTGTCTGTAAAAGCATCATCGAAAATACTTTCCGTTGAAAATCCATTGAAAAATTCCAACGAAAAATTTCGTTGGAAAAAGTACATAATCCATTAATTGTCTCGCATCAATTCTGTTGGAAATTTTCAACGAAATTTATGTTGGAAATGCTTTTCCAATGAAATTTCCATTGGAAATGCTTTTCCAACAAAATTTCGTTGACAAAAATTCCATTGAAAATGCTTTTCCAACGAAATTTTGTTGGAAATTTTTTACAAAAATTCTGCTGGAAATGCTTTTCCAACAACGGAATTTTCGTTGGAAATGCTTTTTCAATGGAATTTCTTTGAAAATTTCCAACGGAATTTTTTGTTAGAGAAGCATTTCCAACAGAATTTCGTTGGAAAAGCATTTCTAACTGAATTTCGTTATTAATTTTCAATGAAAATGTTCCATCGGTAATGCTTTTCCAACATATATTACCAATTAAAATTTCTGTAAAAAATTATCAATTAACATCCATAATTCACATCCAAAATTGATAAGAAAAATACAAATTAAAATCCAAAATTCAAAATTAAGTTCATGCAATTAAAAATTGTCATAAACACATAATATCTCAAAATGTCAAACAAATATAGCACAACGCTAAATGTGTTATTGTATGCCATACTAAAAAAGTATTTAAAATTCACAAGGTAATACTCTTGTTTCACTTGTTGAAGACATCTCAAGCACCTGCAAAAAAATTTTTTGTAAAGTTTATAAGCTTTGAGTAAAAAGGAACAGAAAAGGAGATAGGAAAAGAAAAAAGCTGACAGAGAAAAGCAACTCACGTTGCAATGTTCTGCTCTTTAGAGAAGTTGTAAAAAGCAATGCAAGCATTTTTAACTCTGTATGCACAATGCTGTTTAACACACAAACACACACAACAACCATTCTCATCAAACAACAATGAGCAAAAACAAAAGCAACCCAACTGTCAAAAAATCTTGTTTCAACTTTAACTTCTCTATCAATTGAATGGTCAAATCTAACAAGTCAGACCTTTTTCCATTTGAATTATACTTTTTGTAGTGCAATTATGGGGTTCAACTATTGTTGAAGAAAAAATCAAAATTTCCAAAGAAAGGGAACAAGAAAAGCTTTTTGAAGTAGAAAAAAAAAATAATTTAAGTTTTCAAGGCTTGACATTAAAGAAAGGAAAATTTATAAGTACTTGCAACTGTTACCCTTCAACTGATGAACATGTGTATCAAACTTTTAGAAGTATACATGTAGCCGATCTCTATATCAAAAAAGAAAAAGTTAAGGAGAAAATAAAATAAGAAACTCAAATATATAAAAATAATAATAGTAAAAGATAGCTATGGCAAGAAGAAACCTGACACAGACTGAGATCTTACAAAGCTATGGTCAGATCATTGAGCAGTTTTTTAAAATCATCAAAGAAGAGAGAAACAACTTCAACAACAAAATCTTGGTTGCTCACATCTTGAAGCTGCTGAAATGCTGACCATGCCAAGGAACTTTGACTAGGAAAGAAGTATTTAAACTTCATGGTTAATGCATCTTTATAGAGCTAGCAAAATGACTTTCTTGGCTTCACTAAAGAGAGTATACATATCCAAGAATGGCATGTTCATTAAATAGAGAAAATACATCCAAGAATGATGCCTAGCCCACAATTTAGACTACTCACACATACTTGCCTTCCTTCCTATACTTGAGCAAAATTCCACTCATTCTATTTAAAGACTTTCATAAAGACACCGGTTGGACTGAGCATCTGCCTTTATTAAACAATCATTCATAGCATAACTAATTTACAACATCTGCCTTTTTATTCAACAAAATTAAAATAGTGAGAAACTTCAGTTTGTAGAGACAAATATGCAAATAAATGCAGCATTAACCAAAAAGGATGACCAGTGGTTGTCATAACAGAATAATCCTCAAAAGATAAACATGTAACTATTAGATTGAGAAAAAAAGGACTATTTACCTAATTGAAGTTCAGGGGTATAGAGTGGATTCTTGGGAACATACTCAACATACAAGTTATAAATACACTTAAGTGGTTCACGAAGATCACCAGCCCTAGGATGAGTGACCAAATTAATTTGCACAAAAGGACAAAAAGAGTGGCAGAGTTAGGATTTCATTGAGAAATGTATACAAATTTTCAAAACATCAAATGCTGGAAAATAATGCTGTCAAAAGCATACAAAACAAGGTCAGTATCGAGCATTGATTAATGTCAAGCAAGGTCGATGCTGAAGGAAGAGAGAGGGTCGGCAAAAGGAGAGAGAAGACCGATCGACGTTGAAGGAAGAAATAGGGCCGTTAGGTGCTGAAGAGAAAGAAAGAGAAAGAAAAAAAAAAGAAAAAGAGAGAAGAGAAGAAGGAAAAGGCTGACGGTGAAGGAGAAGAAAAGAAAAGGCTTTGGGTTGGTAGGCCAACGGTGACGATGACCGAAGGATCGAAGTGAGATTGGAAAGAAGTTTGAGAGAGGGAAAAGGAAAGTTGAGAATTTTTAGAGAGAAGGCAGAGGAGTTGCTGCTATAGAGAGAAAGTGAAGAGCCCAAATGAGAGAAGACTGAGGAAAAAGGGATTTTATAGCTAGTATTTGCAATTACTAAAACGACGTCGTTTTGGGTAAGAAAGGAGTTGCTGTGCAAACCACCAAAACGATGCATTTTGAGTAAGAATTCTTGGGCCTTGGGAAGCATACCTGGAATTCTTAGGACTTGGGAAACTTGGAAGCAGGCTTGTTCACTCCTCCATTGGTTGCCTTGGGCCATTCTTAGCCCACGAAGGTTTTATCATCCATTGGTTGCCTTGGGCCATTCTTAGAATGTATATATTTAATTTTATTAATATATTTCTTATAAATAATTAATAAAATTTTTAAAAATTTTTAATTTATTTTAAATAAAAAATTTTAAAAATAATAATTCCGATGGAATTCTTCAATGAAATATTCCATTGGAAAATTTCCTTTGGTAATAATTTTTTTCAACAGAAAATTTAGCGGGTTTTAATTTTTTTGGAGCCATAAATTTTTTGACAGATTTCCAACAAATTATTTTCCGTTGGAGAATTTCAACGAAAATCTGTTGAAAATTCCGTCGAAAAGTTTGATAGGATTAAATTGTTTTTGCTCCAAAAAAATTTTCAACGGATTTCCAACCGAAATATTTTGTTGAAAAAATTTCGTTGAAATTCTGTTGGAAATCCGTTGGAAAAAATCAAATTAAATTTTCGTTGGAATTCCGTTAGAAATTTCCAACGGAATTTTTTTCATTGGGAAAAACTAGTATTCTTGTAGTGTAATTTCCAACAAAATTTAGTGATGGAAAAAACTATGTCGACAAAATATGTTTTTTTGATTGTAACAGTTAATTAATCATTAATTATAATTAAGAGTTTATAGGCTCAAAATGAAAAATATAAGAACTTAATTGAATATAATAGAAGAATAAGAGCTTTTTAAAAATTCTTTTATATAATTTAGATAATTTTTAAAACATTATGTTTTTCTTTTTTTAATTTTTGCAGGCTTGAAACATATATATTACAATTTGCTCATTTGTTTACGTTCTTTGCTATACTATTATTCAAGGAAAGAATAGGGTAAGATGGTGCGATCAAGATTTGATAACATATCTTCGGACCCACTATGAATTCCATGTCATTGAATTTTTTTTCCCTTTTTTGTTGCAAACAAAAATGTCCTCCATCATTTTATGAATTGAAGACATTACAGCCTACAGGCCAACCAAGTATGGCTTCTTTATTTTGTTTTTTCTCTTTCACATTTAGTAGTACAAGTATGTATAATGTCTCATTTTTCTAGAACCCATATTTTCTTATTTTATCAAGGCATATATACATACTGTGAATCAATGCTTGGTTTTTGGGCATGGTGGGGTACGTGACACATGCAGGAAATGCGTTATTCATGTACACCCTTTAGGCTTCAGCTAAGTTTATTTGTTAGGAAGAAGTTAGTGTCAGCCTTAGAGATGAGAAGCACCTGCCTTTGTGTTGAAGCTAGCTATTCAAAAATGCCTGGCGTTTGGCACAGCTCGCTGAAGCAAACCTTTCCTTGTCCCTCCTACCGCTCCTTTAACGTCTCTTAGACTCAAACCTACGACTTCTCAACTCACAGTTTGGTAGATTCTGATCCCTTCCACAACACACCCTTCCCCTTCCATATGATATTTCACTTACCTTGACTCTCCCCCCCAACCCGCTACCTTATAATACCCTCTTCTCCTTTCTCTCCCCTCACCACCTCTCTGTCTCATATCCTTTTCGTCTACCTTCACCTCTTGTTTCTTTTCCCTGCGTGCCATGGCCTCAACCACCATGGCTGGCTTTGGTTCACTTGCCGTCGACGAGGTACTTTCTTAACTTTTCCTTCTTCTTCCTTTCTTTATTTTTATCATTGTCTCTGCGGTGAGACTGATGTGTTTCTTATTAATGTGATGTGGGTGGCAGAACCGGCCTCCGACCCGGCAGTCTTCAGGAAAGATATGCAAAGTTTGCGGGGATGAGATTGGCCACAAGGAAGATGGAGCATTGTTTGTGGCTTGCCATGTGTGTGGTTTCCCGGTTTGCCGTCCTTGTTATGAGTATGAGAGGAGTGAAGGAACCCAGTGCTGCCCCCAGTGCAACACTCGCTACAAGCGTCTTAAAGGTTAATTTGTTTTCCTCTCCTTCTATTTTGTGCTCTCCATTATGTTTGTAGACTTCATTAATTTGTTAGAGAAAGTTTGAACAGAACTAACATGTTTTCTTGTCCCCCAGGTTGTCCAAGAGTTGCAGGAGATGAGGAAGACAACTCTGACAAAGACGACTTTGATGATGAATTTCAGACTAAGAACCGCAAAGATGACTCAGATCGGCAACATGTAAGTTAATTATAGAATAGACGCTTTAATTTCATATTGTAATTGTCTTCGATGTCGTTGTCTTGTTTTCATACGGTAGGACTATTAATTAAGTTTTGTCTTTAATGATAATAATCTGATCAGATAGTCTACATTTCAAATAATGGATAACTTGATTGAAGTAAATGACAGCATATAGAAAGTAAGAAGAATGATAAGGCCCAGGATGGTCACATTTTGCAGGAAAATGGGGACTATAATAATCAGCAATGGCATCCAAATGGTCAAGCTTTCTCAGTCGCAGGAAGCAGTAAGTGCAACAAAATTTTCCTTTTTAACATTCATTTGCTATCGTTCTTGAAAACCTGATTTTTATTTATATCTATGGGTGGGTTGTCGACGGGGTGCAGCTGCTGGGAAGGATTTTGAAGGCGACAAAGAGATATATGGCAGCGCAGAATGGAAAGAGAGAGTTGAGAAATGGAAAGTCAGACAAGAGAAAAGAGGTTTGATGAGCAATGATGATGGAGGAAACGATCAAGCTGAAGAAGATGATTATCTGTAATTTCCTCTTTATCAATCTTTCTTGCACTTTAAACCATTGGATAACAGTCTAACACAAATATGTACACGAATACATGCATATACCACCTTGTACCAACAATTTTCTCATTCCTTTTGCAGCATGGCTGAAGCTCGACAACCTCTCTGGCGAAAAGTCCCAATTCCCTCAAGCCTGATCAACCCTTATCGGATAGTCATCGTCCTCCGCTTCATAATTCTGGTCTTTTTCCTTCGTTTTCGTATTCTAACACCGGCTTATGATGCTTACCCCTTATGGCTCATCTCTGTTATATGTGAAGTATGGTTTGCCTTCTCCTGGATACTCGACCAGTTCCCCAAATGGCTCCCCATTACCCGTGAAACTTACCTAGATCGCCTGTCGTTGAGGTTTGAGCGTGAGGGAGAGCCAAATCAACTGGGCTCAGTTGATGTATTTGTGAGTACTGTTGACCCTCTCAAGGAACCACCCATCATAACAGCAAACACAGTTTTATCAATATTAGCTGTCGATTATCCTGTTGAGAAAGTGACTTGCTATGTATCGGATGATGGTGCTTCTATGCTTCTTTTCGACGCACTATCTGAAACCGCTGAATTTGCAAGGAGGTGGGTACCGTTTTGCAAGAAACATAATGTCGAGCCTAGGGCACCTGAGTTTTATTTCTCCGAGAAGATAGATTACTTGAAAGACAAGGTGCATCCTAGCTTTGTAAAAGAACGCAGGGCCATGAAAGTAGGTTTACAAACTCTCTGTTTACATTTTTGTGCTACCAATGTCCTCATCGTGTTCAAACATGCAAGTTAACAAGAGTTTATAATATATTGCTTCTGATTTACCGCAGAGGGAGTATGAAGAATTTAAAGTGAGGATCAATGCACTGGTGGCAAAGGCTCAGAAGAAACCAGAAGAAGGATGGGTGATGCAGGATGGCACCCCATGGCCTGGAAATATTACTCGTGATCATCCTGGGATGATTCAGGTTTGATAAAGAACATATCAAATTATCTTTTTATCCCTGAAAATTGCGGATCAGATAATAGTGGTACTCAAAAGCTACTTGCTTTACAGGTATATCTAGGAAGCGCCGGTGCTCTTGATGTGGATGGAAAGGAGCTGCCTAGGCTTGTGTATGTATCTCGTGAGAAACGGCCTGGTTATCAACACCACAAGAAAGCCGGTGCCGAGAATGCTCTGGTGAGTATTGTTTCGTAAAACACTTGTTGCTTTCGTTTGTGTGATCAAAAGAGTGCAGTTAATGATTTGTCGCTCTTGTTGGATCATGGATGCCATTGACAGGTTCGAGTGTCTGCAGTGCTTAGTAATGCACCCTTCATTTTGAATCTGGATTGTGATCACTACATCAACAACAGCAAGGCCCTAAGGGAGGCGATGTGCTTTTTAATGGATCCGCAATTTGGAAAGAAGCTTTGCTATGTTCAATTTCCACAGAGGTTCGATGGTATTGATCGTCACGATAGATATGCTAATCGAAACGTTGTCTTCTTCGATGTAAGTCACTGAATAAAATAATATTTTTTGTTTTTCTATTTTTCATTTCATTTTGGTTTTGAAAAATTGATACCTAAAAACTACAATGCTCTTTTTCGTTATAGATCAACATGTTAGGGTTAGATGGGCTTCAAGGCCCTGTATATGTAGGCACAGGGTGTGTCTTCAACAGGCAGGCACTGTATGGCTATGATCCACCAGTATCCGAGAAGCGACCAAAGATGACATGCGACTGCTGGCCTTCATGGTGTTGCTGTTGCTGTGGGGGATCAAGGAAAAAGTCAAAGAAGAAAGGAGAGAAAAAGGGCTTACTTGGAGGTCTTCTATACACCAAGAAGAAGAAAATGATGGGAAAGAACTATGTGAGAAAGGGGTCTGCACCAGTCTTCGATCTTGAAGAGATTGAAGAGGGGCTTGAAGGATATGAGGAATTGGAGAAATCATCACTAATGTCACAGAAGAACTTCGAGAAACGATTCGGACAGTCACCAGTCTTCATTGCTTCAACTTTGATGGAAAATGGTGGCCTTCCTGAGGGCACTAATACCACATCACTTATTAAGGAGGCCATTCATGTAATTAGCTGTGGTTATGAAGAGAAAA